GGGGGGGGGGGGGTGTTGGGTGAGGGTGAATATAAAATAATAATAAAAAAATTGTGCATCTGAAATGTGTTTAGAATGGTCTTTCTAATCTTTTTGCTTTATAAAGTCTCATTATAAACATTATAATATCATTACCTCTGAAGCAAGTGTTCCAGGTCATTAGCAAAGCACTTTAAGTGAGGATTCCATTTCCTTTCTGGTGCCAAAGGTCAGCACCTTTTGTTTATAAAATAGAATTGATAGTAAGGGCAATTTTTCAACTGGTAAAGATGGGTTCTTATGATAAAAATAGGTCTTTGCATGGTTATTTCTGACATGCTTAGATAATTATGTAATTTAACGCTAAGGAAGGCGTTGGGTTTTTTTAAAATAAGTGTTAGACTTCATCATTACCTATAGTAATCAACATTCAAAACCATTTACATAATGACAATATTGCATATTGCTTCAGCTATGAGGCTGATAACGTCACGTTCCACCAGACATAAAGTCTTTTGGTCTCAGGTTTTGCTTTAAAAGCAAAATGCTCTATTTTTCTCTTTTTTTTTTTTTTTTTTTTTGATTGGGGGAGACATAAAAATAGTATTTGTATGTTGGCAGTGCAGATGGGTGAATAATTTATCATCATATCTCACTGGCCACATACTACTGATGATTGACACTATGCTGCTGGTATAAAGCATTTTACCATCAGCTCTCATGGTTTCTAACTGAGAGTATAATAAGCCAATTTACAGAAGACTACAGACTGTGATAACTTCATCAGAGGAAAGCAGATAAGCAGTGAACCCTTTGCTAAACCTAAATACTAATCTGCATTTGGTTAAACAAGTGCTTTTGCAGAGACAGCTGGAGTTTATTCAGTTTCTTCCTTTATTTCTAGAGCCTGAGGGCATGTTCCCTCCAGAGGTTGTCATCATCAACAGTACAGCTGTACGTGTCATCTGGACATCGCCTTCAAACCCGAATGGTGTTGTCACAGAGTACTCCATCTATGTAAATAATAAGCAGCACAAGACTGGAATGAACGAGCCGGGGTCCTTTCTTTTAACAGCTTTGTCTCCATTCACTGTATATGATATACAGGTTAGAATATCTTTTCTGGGTTGTGTAATATACTTTAATTTTACATAAAATATGTGTATTTCCAAGTGGAATATTGTTTCATGAATTTCTTTACATACATGGACATATATTTGCACTGATGTTTGTGTGCATATACATGCAAGGCATAAATTTATTCTCAGCATATTTTAGGTCTGTGTACACTTTTTATAATACAAATTTCCATTATCTTTTTTCAAACCATCAAAACTCCATTTACTTTCCCCTAAATGCTCTGTGCTACAACATTAGCAAAGCCCCAACATATATTACAAAGAGGCAAAGATTCTACTCCTACTCATTAAAAGAAAATTGCAATTGTTTTAGAAACATCAGGCATGCATAATATATCAGCACAGAGAAATAATGATGTTGCATTTGTCATCCTCTTACAATTTTTTTTTCTTTTTATCCTTCTGAGGAAGAAGCAGAGTTGATCTCTGAAATCATAGTAGTACTTTTTATGCTCTTAATAAGTACAATAGTTTTTCTTTGCTTTTCCCTTTATCTTTGCCTCTCTGTTCATATATCTAATGAAAGGCAAAATACTGTCTGCAAAAAAACCCAAACCCCAAAACAAAACAAAAACCCCCCTCTTTATCCTTAAGTTGTATTAATATATTCAAGAAATGCAGTTTGTCACTTAATTGTAACTATTCCTATCTATGTCATTCAGGTTTGGTTTGCATTATATATGAGAAGCACTTAGTAGTACCATGTATACTTTGGTCTGAAAATTTGAATCCGGTTGCTACACGCCATAAATAAACATCACAGACAAGCATATCGTAACAGATTTCTATGTTCCAGCCCCTCTGAAACAGCAAACCTCCATCCATGAATACACATATGACTTTCTGAATGCCGCTTGCAAACACATTTGTCTTTTCTCAATAACAATGCAAATTCAGTATACTGCCTCACTTATAGACCCTCTATATTAATTTACCATAGCCACCTTCTGTTGCTTGAGATGTTAATTATTCTTCTCTTCTGCTTTCCTAGTCGTTATACTGGACTTATATTTGCATCAATGTGATAGGTAAAAGCAAAATAAGCTGGTTTTTTTTTGTTTTTTGTTTTTTTTTCCTTTTGATTCTTTTTCTTCTTTATTCTTTTTCTTCTTGTCCTGGAAACAATGGATGCATGTGAATCTCACTGGTAATCTTACTGTATTAACTTTCATTTTTTGTGCTCTTTTATTTTGAGTAACTTCTCTGTTGATACTACAGAAACAATGTTACCGTCCTTCACTAGCTATATCACTTTGCTTTTGCTTAGTTTAACCCCAAGAATTGAAGGAATAAATTTTTATTTCTGTGGCATTTTTCATAACAAAGTGTATGATTCCTATTTGCATTTTTCACTTTTTGTTTTTCAAAATAGACATGAATGAGTAGAAACCATTAAGGAAAAATTAGTCTTATTTTTATGTCAGAATATATGATAGGTGTAGAAAACTTACTCAAGGCCCTAAATCAAAGTACATTTTTTTCAGTGTTGTGCACCAGATTCTACATATACATGCACAAAACCAAATTCACTGCAAGTCTGTTGGTCATAATTTAATAGAGAACAACAATTAGTGCCAGAGGGCTGCACGTATGCACGTACCCTTTTTTTTTTTTTTAAAATGGCATGGGAAAAAGTGATACAGAGCAGTATATCTCTGGTAGATATACTTATCTCAAGGCTGCAGTATTTTCCTTGCTATATGGACTCTGTTAAATAGAAAATAAAATCTTGGGTGAAGAGAGAAGTCTAAACAAGTAGCAGAGCTGAGTAATTTCTGCAGCTGAGTATGTGACACTCATGTTCTTCTTCATCAGATTGAAGCCTGCACAGTGTATGCCTGTGTGAGAAGCAATGGGACCCAGATTACAACTGTGGAAGATGAGCCAAAGCAGCTGTCAGCACCCATTATTCACATAATTGGCTCAAGGTATGCTATAGGTGGCTTTCATATATCAGAGTGATTTGTAGCTGGAATGGGGACCAGAATGTAAGGTTGTCTTCTCTCAATTGAATAAGGTACATAAATGAATTTAGTATACACTTTAACAACATTTTTTATGGTTGTTATTTTTGGGTTTGGAGTTTTTGGCCAAAAGAGCAATTGAAGAAATCTTACCCTTGGTTGATTGTAGATACCCATTTGGGTATCACTGTACTGTGATAATAAATAAAAAAATAAAAAACTAAAAAAAAAAAGCAAAGCCTAAGTGGAAGTAGTTAAGAGAAGAAGTGTAGAGGAAGAAAAATTATCACATTTTGCTGTCAGTTAAGAAGAGGAAGATTAATGCTCAGGGAGCAATGCAATGCTGATAATGGAAACTTAGAATAATTGTGGTTAAAAAAAGTCACCTATCACAACAGTAAGAATTAGTAAGCTATCTTAAAAGCCATGCATATCTATGTCTCCTTGAACCACTGTTTGCAATCTGCCTATCCACTACATCCACAGGCATGGGCAAACTTCTTAATTCTAAATGGAGCATCAGATTTGCAGTCCTCAGAAGCATCCAAATAGTAACATATACAGTGATTTTTCGGGAGTTAATATCTTCCAAAGACAGACTAAAGCTAAGCTCGCTAATGGATTTTTCAGAATTACTACAACAATAAAACAGTTAGCATCCTCTGTTTATGTTATTGTTCATGCGATTTTATTGCACTTCTGGTGGAGTATGCTCATTAGCAGTGTAAAAACTCTTTTTTTTTTTTTTTAATAACAAAAATCTAGCATCTGAGCCTTCAGAAGTGGCCAGCAGAATGGATTTCCTTCTCCAGTCTCTTAAGGATTTTGGTTTGCTGTTTATCATGTCTACAGTTTACTTGAATTCAGCATTTGTCTCTGTATAAGGGTGAAATTAAGCTTGCTATTTTTCTGTCACATATACACATATAGTCAAAGCTTGTTTGATGATAAGAACTCAGAGATTCAGGATCTCATCTTTTGCCCTTGGCTTTAACTTATGTATGCTTTTGTCTGTATTGTCTGTACTGCAAACACTTATGCATGTTTCTGCTATTATATATAGACTAAATATGTCATAACACATGAATGCAAAAGGATCAAAAATGCCTTCCTACTTTATAATCTGCTCAGCCAGAAACAGACTCTGTTTCTACACTGCCTTTTCCTACATGTCATATTATCATCAGCTGTTCTTATATCCCAAAAGAATACTAACTACTGATCGATTGCCCGGACATGTCTGGCCGTGGCCTACACGTGCCCTGGGTAGTTCATTTATTTGCCACGGTGGATTTGCTAGAGTGGAATTTAATCAATAGCTAATTCATTAATTCTGGTCCTCAAGTATGTAGGGATTGTGCGGTATAAAAATGACTGGCTGGCTTCAGCTTTGATTGAAATATGACAAACACTACAGCTGACAGCTTCAGCAGGTGCTGGGCTGAATATGAATTTTGCTTATTTATCCTCCATAACAGAAAGAGCTCGGACAGAAGAACAGTTTGTGTAGACAAGAGGACATTTTAATACATATCTGTCACCAGACAGAGAAAAAAGGCATTTCTAGAGAATAGGCTTATGGGATACCTGAGATATAATACAGACTGTGCAGTTTATTGTCTTTAATTGGAATCATGGTGTTTTTCCCTCTTCTGAATCAGTTTGGGGGGCTGTATTATTGATGAAAATGCTGTAGGATAATGTCTTTGTAGCATTCACAAATAATTGTTTTAAAATTTGCCTCAAGGTGCTGCATGACATAAATTATAATTTCACCCACCAACTTCTTAGAAGTCTTTCTGATAGCGGCTCCATCCACACTGTTCTAATGAAGGTTATACCACCGGAGCCATTATAAATACCTTACTTTTCCACCCCTTACAGTTAATAACTCAGCTTCAGGCTGAAACTTGGCATAAAAGGTCGCAGTCCTGGAATGATTATTTTATAATGCCAATCTTCAAACAGAAAACAGTATGGGACCCAATCCTGAAGTTCTAAATCAGGTTCTGCTTTGTTATGTTTCTTGTCTGGGTTTTGGGTGCTTTTTGTGGGAGGTGGAGAGCTCGCATTGGCCACGTATAGGTAGAAACAAATCCTACTGAAATCAAGTAGTATGCTTGCTTTTTTTTTTTTTTTTTTTTTATAGAGAAGTATTGTATTTTATCACACAGTTTAGAAAGTTCTCTGAGTACTCCATGCAGGTAGATGCTGTCTTAAAAGTTTGTGTAGTGGATTAAATTCTTATGGTGTGTTGGAAAATAGTTCATTCTCCTTTAAAATATGTTTTTTATTTTCCTTTTTCTTTGTAATACAGCATGCTTAGTTTTTTTCTAGTAACAATACTTAGCAGCAGCTTTGTTCCTTTCAGAAATCTGAGGCACAATGCAGATGAACCCTTACAGCAATTCTGTTCAGTGCTTAATTAAAAGGTTGATGTCTCTCAAAACACCTTGTGGCATAAACTAGGGAAAATCCTTCAAAGCTTCATGAAGAAAGAGAGGGCCCTTTATGTACCTTGGGGAGAACCAGAAACTCTGGTCAGGGTGTAATAGAGACTCAAAGAAGATAAGACCATGGAAGAAAATCTGGATTAATTCTTTGGTTTGATGTTCAGTATCATGGGGCTTAGGAAGGTGTCTATATCAGACGCTGTTCGTGGGTGAATGTGCTGGAGGAATTACTTCAAATTAACATGTGAGGAAGATTTTAGAGCAAATGGATAAAATATATAGCAACGAATTGTTGGGATGATGGTATTTTCTCAGGAGTTCTAAAGGACCTCAAATATGAAAGTGTCAAACTACTGTGCTGTGTAAAATATCCTTTAAATTGGTCTTGGTACTGGAGGAATGGAAGATGAGACAATGTAGTGCAGATTTCTCCAAGGGGATCTGGGGAACTAAAGACCAGTAAGTCTGATTTTCCATACTGGGAAAATGGATGGAAAGTCAAAAAAAAAAAAAAAAAAAAAAGGGGGGTTGGGTTTGTGATTCATAGCCATGTGAATAAACATGAAATTCTGGGGAAGGTTGTTGTGGAATCATGTCCATCCATCCTATGACAAGCTAACAAGAAATATCCAGAGGACAGGCAAAACACGGAGGTTTCTTACATATGCTTAGTTTTATGGCACTTTCCCTAAAGCATTTAAGATGGTGTTCCCATGGAGGAAACCTGATTGCTCTCCCTACTTTAGTAATGAGAAAATCAAAGCACAGGAAGATTTCTCTAAGAAGTAGCAACAGCAGAAGCATAATGCTATTTATCAGACTTTCTGTGCTGTGTCATATTGCCTCTCTGGTTGTGTTAGCACTGCGGTCCACAATACAGCAGGTAGTTAACTCTTGTGCAATAAAGCTGAAGCAGTTGCTCAGTATGTATTATCTCTTGATCAGGAAAATATTTTACCCGCTGGCCATTAATAATAGCAGTGTTACCTATCTAAAGAATGTCTTATCTTAATGCTCTATCTTAAGAAAGTTGTGATTTTTCTGTGGATTTTTTTTTTAATTCCAGCTCCTGAAAGCAGTTATCAAATCTTAGATTTGATGTGATTTTTTAAAAATTTAACCCTTGCATGTGATGAGACTAGCACAACATTCATTCTCAAGATTCAAAAGTGAGGTCTTGTTATATTTTTAATCTTCATGGTTAAACCTTTACTACCATGTTGAGAAAAAAAGGAAATCATGAGTTCTTTTCATGACTCATGGATGCTTGAAACTGATGATACCCAAAGCAGGCAAAAACGAGAATTTCCCTTCCAATTCTGGTTTATGAAAATGTATCTGATGTGACATCAAAAATGAAATACTGATATTTTTCATGGGTTTAAAAAAAATAATAATTTTACCTGGAAATGTCAGAATTAACTGTCTTCACGTGCTTGAGCCAAAGGATTTCAGTTTGCTCTGTTTCACCAAAAGCAAATACACTTTGTGGATCAGTCTGAAATTGTTCTTTATCTCCTGGAAGTGCTGCAGTGTCTCATGGACTTTGTGGTCTGAAGCAGTTCGTATCCATGAGCCTGGTTATGCTGCCTAGTCTGTAGGAGGTAGCCCTATTTCAGTATTTTCACCACATTGCCAGCATTCACAGAAGGGACTTACCCAGCATTTGAACTATCATCAATTGCACATGCTTGGAGTTTTCTCTGGGCACACAAGGATTCTGTGCCACATGCCATTCACCTGTGCCTAGAATTTGCAAATCTGCTCTGTAGTTCAGGCTGTGGGCACTTCCCATAATAGACACAACTCCAGTTTATCTGAGAGGGAGTAACTGGGGGATGAAGAGAAGGAGAGGGTGGGCAGGCTCCATCCTCATATTTCTGCAGCTGTATCAAAGGCACCATACATGATACAGCTGGCTGCATGGTAAAGCACCCATCATGTCCCGTTAAATCTGCACCTGCTCAAGAAGGTTTTCAGCTCAGCTTCAGTACTTCTTCAGATGGGGGGTGTCAAAAAGCCTCTGCAGTCCTGTGAAAACCCTGCTGAATTTTTTTTAAACTGAGCTATGCATTGTTCTTGCTGTGATGCACCACAGTTTGCCATGGGCAGCAAACATCAGAAGGTGTACACATAACTGAAACATTCATAAAATTGTGAAGGAGTCTGATTATCTGTGTGATTACTGAAAGGTCATACTGAGTTTTACCCTTTTGGTGGTACTGGTCAGGGAACTCCCACTCCATGTAATTTTCGAGTACAGCTGCAGCTTTACACAATACCAGGCTATGTCCACCCCAAATGTGTACATATAAATTGAATAATAATAAAGTGATTGCTCGCTAAAAGAAAGAAATAGATGCTGAGCTCTACAGAAAAGGCAAAATGTTCAAATCATTGCATCAATTCTTAGGCCTAATTTGAAATTATTTCAGAGAGAAATATGACTGGCAAAACTGCAAAAACTGGCACAATATTTTGAAAACATACCATTGAGGGTCTGAGTGAAACTTGCAGAAAGCAAATCATTCAAAAATATGACTGGGAATGGTTTCTTTGCTACTGTGATCTATACTGTACAAAGACCAGGGAAGAGTTACGGTGGCATTTATAGAGGTTGAAGTACTACTCTTCTTTTCCTTTTCTTTTTATATTTTTTCTGAACTTTATATTTTCCTGCTTTTCCTTTTTTAAGTTAGGTCCTGTAACATTATTTAAATGTAGACATGTGTGTATGTGCACGTGTGTATGTTCATGTGCGTGTGGTAGAATATGTAGTGAATATGGAATTAAACCTATGGCTCAGATGAAGACCTTGGACTGATAATGGTGACTTTACAAGTCACCTATGAAGCTGTTCCTTCATAGGTGACATTAATTCCTGTTCGACAAAGACTTACTGCTGTGTGTATTCCTCTGTTTATACCTCAAGGAAGTGAAATAATAGTTTAGTTGTTTTTATTCTGTTAAGATGTCAAAGTTTATCTCAGCAGCTGCTGTTTCGCTGTAACATTTTCACTTTAAATTAATGCTAATTTATGATGTCACTGGCATTCTGACAGTGGCTGTGTAATTGGGACATGGGGATTAAAAAGAGGTACTTGGAGCCTAAGTATATACTCTGCAATGTTGCCAGTCCTCCTATTGATCCACATGTACCTTTGTGATCTCCTCTCTACCCAAAGAGAGTCACAGTGAAAGTCTATGTCTTATGCAATATTCCGGAGTGATTATGCAAGAAATGAAGTTTTCATTTGAAAAACTAATGTGAAATGTGTACATTATAAAAGACAGAGAAAATTTGTTTCAAATGTCCCTTTTGACATTTTTAAAAACAATTGTAATGTTAAGTGAGGTTTTGGAGCCAATATCTGCACATTTTTAGTAGTGACAGGCATGCTACAGTCTAATGTGATTTTTCCCTAAAGATACTTTCTCCCTTAAACTTATGATGGTTTGATATCAAACCTGAAATCAGTAACAGTTTTTTGTTTGTACATAGTCTGTTGAGGGCTGCTGCAGTCATGCTTTTGTGCTCAAAGTCAGAAGTCTTGAGTCTTACTTGTGATACACTTGCATTTTTTTTACTTCTAATTTTACGTCAATGAAAATAAGCACAGAAGAGAACTAGTGCTTACTGATGCTGCGATGGGTTCTTTCTTTTAATTCTATCCTACAGAACACATTTCAAAGCAAAATACTTTTTCTTTGTATAATGTTTCTGAGAGCAGGGAAAAGGCAAGATGAATACCAATATGTTCTAAATGGTGACTGAGCACAATGTGAGTAAGCTGCACTGCCGACAGCTCAGAGGGAGGTCAGCGGGGGGTCTTTTGACTCCCAGCTGCCTGTCCTCTTACCAGGTTCCTATCTGAGAATGGAATGGTCATGCCAGCCCTGACAATAGTTCATGTACGCCCTTGCTATAGCACCAGGAAAGCATACTGAATCCTTTCCTCTACCACTGAAATGAAACAAGTAAAGTGCTAGAAAATGTATTACACATAAGTTTCCAGAAGTATGAATGTCTTTTAAATAGCAACCTTTAAGGACTTTGATTGCATGTGTGATTTATTTTCCAAGAGTGTTAGCACATATTGATACTTTTTTCACACTTTTGCACCTTCCATGAATTTCATCATCTAGAGGAACCTTTTGGACACTTCAAAACATTTCACTCCACATGAACTAGCATAAAATGGAAGTACTATAGGCTAATCCTTTAATGTAAGTATTCATAGAATCGTAAATACTTTCAATAATTTAACAAAAGTCAATTTTCTCCTTACTGTAGATCTCTTCAGATCAACTGGGCATCACCAGAACAGCCAAATGGCATTATCCTGGGATATGAACTCTTACGTAAAGTGTGGCAGAGGTGTACCACATCAAAGACTCCAAAGAGCAGCAAAAGTAATAGAATGTGCATCTCATTAGAATGTGAAAAGCATGAAAATATCTGTGGAGAAGTGTGTTATCATCCAGAGTTGAAGGTACAAGTATATTCTTAAGTTAATCATGTAATGATAAATCATACTTTTAGGAGTAAGTATGTAAAACAAGTCTCTTTATTAACAGAGGAAGGGGAGGGTTCTGCTTCTTTTGATATTTTAAAATCAAGACTCTGATACATGTCTTGAAACTTTTAAAAATCAAATATGCATATTTGAGCTCAGTACAGGGATTAGCTGTGCAAAAATCTCCAGCAGTGTATGTGAGTCAGCTGATGACAAGTGATTCTGTTGTCTTAAGTCTGAGATTGTTGACTTTAATTCTCCTTTCAGAAGAAACTAATTGGTTAGCATTTATGAATGTGTCTTGCATTAACACTTTGGTTTGGAGCAATTGTGCAGTTCTGAATGCATCCCCAGATTGTTTTCATTCACTACATGCTGGTTCAGTGTGGAAGTGGTTTTAATGCATGCGAACTAAAAACCCTTCAAATATGGTCCAGCTCTGGATGGGGACTTAAGGCTCCCAACCAGTCTGTGGACCACCCTTACTTCACAAGATGCATCTGAAGTTTCTTCCATTTGCTCCACATGCATAGTGCAGATGTTCATCCTAAGGAATCAGGCTGTATCTGATCCAAAGTAAATCTCACAAGCCACATGTAATGGAAGTTTGAGGAATCTCAGTGCTAACCTCTTGAATCCACTGATCCAATCCCATTGTGACAAATTACATGGTGGGTATACATGTATATAGATCTCCGTATTTTTGCATCTCACTTGAAACAATCAGCTTTGCTCAGCTGCATGCCATAGGTCACGCACTAAACACCTAAAGGAGATTCTTTGTCAGCTCAAGTATTCATGTGTCTGTGGAGCACATGATGGTAGTTCACATGGCTCCTTTGGCATGAAGAGATTGCACTGGATCACTTAAAGGCCATAGGAAATTTTCTAGGTATATGCAGAATTTCAGAAACACTAGTAAAACTGTAAAGCTCATGTGTGAGGAATCATTCCTCAAAGCCTGCATGGCAAATAGGGTTATTAACATGACTTGCTGGGTTCCCCCCCCCCCTTAAATTGTTCCTTGACTAGATGCTTAATGATCAGATTCTCCAGTACAGAAAATCTATTTAGATTCAGCTACAAGTGGGTGGTTGTTACATGACAATGGGATCCATTGTGATTTGTCAGATGTATTTTTAAATTATGGCTATTTTCAGGTTAATCTTCATATGAGTTCCTGTTTAGGAGTAGGATCAATAGCATAGCGGGAGTCTGTAATGGTTTTTATTGACAAACGAGGTAGAAAACTCTTAGTTTGAGAGTAAGATTTAATGTAATGAAATAGTGTCCCTATTTGTCAAAGGCATCATCACATGTTCCATGACTAAAGCAAACAATATGTATTCACAAGATTCCCTGTCAGACAAGACAGTAATTAAGGGAGTGAGTTATCGGAGGGGTTCAAATAAAAATATAAATTATTCCAGCCAACACAGCCTTAGCTTTTGAGTTCCCTTGAAAGCATTACTATACTAAACATATGTATTTCTGAAACCTTGCAAATGAATTATGGGCAGTCCTTTGTTTTAAAAGGCAAATTTACTTATTTCGGGTTTTTGTCATGGTAGACTTTTAAATAGATCTTGGCATGTGTATGAGTTAAATTTGTATTATATTAATTTTAGATGTTTTATTCTCCATTTTATTTTTTCTGCCTTCATACATTTATGATAAGTTTGAATTTGGAGAGTGTCTATTTATTTTTACAGCTTCCTGACTTTCTTTCTAATTAATTTTGCATTATTTTTTTATATCAGTCTCTCTGTATTCTCAGAGACTGTGGTTAGAAGTGGGTGCTATTTGTTAAGAAATGGATATATAATAAAGAACTGGAAGGTCCACAGGAAACTGAAGCACTCATACATAAAAATGGCATGGGAGCCATTTTTGTGAGTGAATTGATTAAAATTCCCCTCGCAATGCTTTGCCTGTTTTGCTACATGTGTCCACACTAGCCATCCAGAATGTCTGTAAGAGCTCCTGGCACACCCATGTTGTTCTTAAACTAGAGTCTGTGACAGGGACAACTTATGTGGCAACCCTCTGTCACACTTTTGTAGAATTCACTGTCACTCTATGCCAGCTATATTGCTGAAGCATTTATGCTAGTGTATGTGGTCCTTAGATTCGACAGCCTACTGGACAGAAGTGAAGCAACACTGACCAGCATACACTTGTTCTGAAAAGAAAGCCTCTTATCACAGTGCCAGCTGTTATTCACCATACATTAATTGTACAACCAAATGCAAAGAGATGGCACTGAGAATTAAATGCTGAGCAGCTTAAGTAGTGTTCAGATCCAGAATAATAAACAAGTTTTTTGTTCATCTGATGATAGACTGGTTAGCAAAAGCAAGCAGATTGTATACACATAGTTCCGATAGACAAACACACTGTGGAGTTCTTTTGCACAGGTCATTTATTGCACCTTATCTAGAAGACACAATGGGTCTAATTTTCCTCTTATTATTTCCTTGAATTCAGGACTAAAGTGAGAAGAAAATGGGCCTTTTATAAAAAAATAATTTTGAGATATGTCTTGAGATTAATATTTCCTCATGGATTTATGTGTTAAATTTGGCATCGTCAGCTTGCTATTGTAAGGCACTGCAGAAAAAGAGGGATTCGTTGCAATTTCTTATCTACATAAGAGATCACCAGAATATAATCTCCTCCATCCATAGAAACCAAAGGGTTTCAGTAATAGGAATACCGGGGTGTGTTTTCACTGCTCAGCAGAGCGGGATGCAGAGACTCTTCGCTAACATTGGCTGAGCTGGGTCCGCCTCAGCAGCTCAGTTATACCAGAAAGGCAGCGCTAAATAGCCTGGGTGCAGGGTTGCGCTAGGTGTGCTGTGCTGCGTTTGGGAACCAGACACTAGGTCTATGTGTGCTGTGCTGTGTTTGGGATCCAGGTTAGTATCTCTGAGTAGCACTGTGCTGTGTAAATAAACCAACTTGCCCAGAGCTGTCTTGGGAATCTCTGAAAGAGCAAATGACCTTTTCACTAAAATGAACAAGTGTACATGCACACCCATGGGCTCATGTAGGCCTGATATTAAGCCTAATAAAGACAAAAAAAAGATTCCTGCTATCCTAAATAATCTCTACATCAGATCCCTACTTCTTATTTCTAGTCATTATCCAGTTTTCTGCTTCAGTTTTAGAAATCCTTGTTATTTCAACTGAATCTAACAGTGCTGTGCCTGGTATCCTGACCCTGGTGTTTGTAATCAGACTTGGATGGATTTATAATTCTTGAGTGCAGAAAGAATTTAGAAAGGATTTTCTTCATATGTAGTTTTGCAGAAGAGCTGAGAATAAACTCTCATGATGAATTTTGTCAGTTGCCAGGAGGGTCCCTGTGTCCAGTATACCTTTTATACTATCGTAACAAACCTGTGCTGCTTGGGAGTTTCCAAGCTGCTAAAACTGACAGTCTTTTCCTAGCTGTTTTCAGTAAGGTGTGATCCATAACTCTATCCATATTTGAAATCTCAAACCAGACAGCAGCTCAGAGAGCACATATCATGAGATCTGTAGAGATGTACTTCAATTAACAAGGGAATGTGCCCTAGCTTCACCCATCAGGGAGCATAATCTCAGTACCCATGGGGAAAGCATTCCTGTATTATCCATGCAGCTACCAAACTGTCCTGTTGTTACTGGCATCTTGAGGTGAGCACTGAAAATAATGAGACAGGTACAGTAAAAAAGTAATTAAAATAGTGGCACAAAGGCTAATAATTTCTGTACACAATGGATCATGAGTATGTGCATCAGTGGTTAAAAGGGCCCTGACTGAAGGTGTTAATACAGCTTCAGCACTTTTTACGTTCAGTATCAACAAGCTTTATAAATCTGCAGTTAATGAACTAATCAAATATAACTCTGACATTACTAGGAAGTGCAGGCTTACCCCTTTATTCATTGTAATTAACATGTACCATTTGTTAAAAACACCATCAGGACTCCTCTTTAAAGACAGGAGGAGCAAAATGGTGGTTTGATAGCTAGCCTCAAAAGCACGATTTTCAGGAGTGAAAACTAACACATCTCGACACTGGTGAAGCATATTCCATAAATATTTATGTTAAATTTACTATTAATGCTAGCAATATTGTGCAAATTCTTTTCAAATTCTTTCTGGCTTAGAGAACCTTTAAAAAGATAACACTTCATGTACAGTGTGTGTTGTAACACACCTGAAAGACAGGAAATGAAACTCATTTTAGTAAGATAATATATACTGATTTTTAACAGAATAGCAATAATTTCTGCTCGTGGATTTTAGATTTAAGGCTGTGCCAATTACTAGAAGAGAACAGCAGTTTGAGAAAAGACATGGGTGAGTAAGTATACTTAGCAAAAAAGGGTGTCTATATAGATTCAGAGATAATTTAAGTGAAAAAGAATAAGCCTTGCTAATTTAAAATATTCCCTCTCACATGAGAACATGATTGGTCAATCATTACTCTGGTGTTTGCTCCACAGGCAGAAATTTTTAATGAAGTCCTGTAGCTAATAGGAATTCCTTAGAGTGTTTTGTGAATTGCTATTTCACAAAGTGACTCTGGCAGCAAGCGTTTGACAAGAAGGATAAACATGGCTGCCTAGCACATCTGTTTATTTGAGTAAATCAGTCCTAGCTCAACTGGCATGTGTCCATAAGGCCAGATAATATCTTTCAGCAAAGTCTTCAGCAAGCAGAGGGATCAGGGATGATACAATTTTAATTAAAAGAGAGTTGCATAGATAAGTTTAAAGTATTTTTTTTAAATTGTTAAAATATTGTGTAATCCTGCCTGCCAGATTTGATATGTAGTTACTCCGTGCTAGTGTCATGGCTGACTGGGCCTTTCCCAGGTAACCTAATAAGCCTTTATGCCCAGCCCTTCCCAGTCCCTGTGCTCCTGAGTCACAGTCCCTCTGTGGGCTTGGATAGGAGGATAACTACGGGATTGATTTGTGAGTAACTCAGTCTACCAATAGTTTTAAGGGCTCCCATGATAGCTAAGGATGAACACCTTGTATCACGTCCATAGACAGTAAAGATCTTCTGGTTAGTAAGCATATGGCAAACATTCAACCCTCTGTACAAGGGTGAGATCTCTGACCTGCCTAAAATGTTGGTGTCACTGTATCTGATCGCTGTGAGGCTTCTACTTTCATGTCCGTAGCAACACCACCCAGTTGGGACTGTCACTTTTAGATCTAAGAGGATGAGATAATAATAACCTTTTGCCACTATAACTTTCAATCCATCTGCTTTTCTTCTTTGCGTGTGACATAATTTTAGCGTTACTTGAATGCATTTTATTTTATGGATTGATAATGCAGAATCCTTGGACTGAATATCAATGCAAATAGAAACTAACTACCTTTAGAGGACTGCCAAAAAAAGTGTTATTTAACAATTTACAGCTGACTGCAGAGGATGTTACGGAGCTACATAATAATAGCACCAACTATATCAATCGGTAATGCCAGATGAGAGTCTGAATGTGTTTTAGAGCTGACTGGACCCCTTTTTGGACACTGTCTATAGGCTTTTGTGAAATACTGAGGGTCTTAAATAATTTTTAACAAGGAAAAGTAGCTAAGGAAACTATTGTAACATAGCTGGGTGTTCAGCTGGGGATTTTTTGAGGGAACTCAGGAGGAAAAAGAGAGAAACCAGTAATAATGCAATCTTACAATTAATGTTCCAACCAGAATACTTTAGGGTTAGTGCTAAAGCAGACCTTCCAGTGTCTGTGTGGAATATGCAGAGCAGATGATTCTACTGAGGGTTCACAAGAGAATGTCTTAAAACAGGAAACATCAAGTGGAAAGTAAAATGGCTACTCAAGCATTTGAACCTAGATAATACCAAAGATGTGCAAGGTTCTTTATCTGAAAGATGGAAAGACTGTGTTCAAGTGAAATTTGGGCGGTGTGCATCATTGAGGAGAAGAAAACAGTACAGAGATGACAAAGGAAATCCATGGAAAGTAGAAGAGAAATTGGGCTAGACAGATCACAGGGGGAGACACAGTCCCCAAGGGGCATGCAAACTGGGACTAATAACATGTGAGGAACGTGTATTTGGCTGCCTTCCATGCAGGCAAGTACAGCATTTACTGGCTCTGGTGTCTCAGGCTCAGGGTGCAGTAAAAAGAACAGGATAGAGGCCATTTCTTACAAGTGTTAAGAATTGTTGCTAAATACGATCTATTCTGTGGTGCAGACAGTGGCACGATAGTACTTGATTTGATATTTTTAAGAATGCTTTTAAATGACTTGGAAATACAGAGAGACCAGGTAATCTTCTAAGGTTGCTTTGGAGCCAATTGTAAATTAAGAAAAACTCAGTCTGGAGTGCATGCCAGTCATAAAAAAATATCTAAAAGATAGGAAGCAGAGATGTAAAGCAGAGTTTTATTTGACATCTTAACTAATGATCTGGAAGAAAGAACAGTAGGTTAATTAAATTCATATATTGGATTATATTACCAGTGACAAGATGGACAGCAAAATAATATAATAGGACCTAGAGAGACTCAAAATTCCTGAACTGAAAATGACAAAACTCAGCTACTTTGGTAGTTTAAAACAGATACTGAATGAGAAAGTGTGCTGGCAAAGCAGAAAACTGTCTGACAATTCAAAGCATATAAGGTTATAAACCCTCAAAATATAATGAGGAAACAAGGACACCTTCTGCCCTACCTCATGTTAATTTTGGGTTACATATTGTTTATGTATTGTAAATTGTAACTTCAGAACCTAACCTAATACTCCCAAAAGTGATTGAGTGAAGGCCATTCAAAAGTCAACAAAACAGAGCATCATCCTTCTGAAGTCAAGAAGAATTTGTTTATGACATAAGAAAAGTAGTAATATTTTTTCAGTATATATTTGTGTTAAAATTATAAATGTAATACAAATTAGTTGTCCTGAACTTAGTAATATACATTTTTAAAAGTTTTTTGACAGCTAGTAAAGTACCTAGGTAAACAAAAGATTCTTCTAGAGGAATGCTTGCTTTCTTTGCTGCTAAGATAACCTGATTTAGAATGTGGTTAATGTCTGGGTTGGAAGTGCTCCATATCAAAAGAAAACAAAGGAGCAACTCTGTTCTAACACCTGTGCTGTACTGCCAACTGCATTTTCTGTAAAGGGAATCGTTCTGGCTAATACAAGTTGCACTGACTGTAGTCTCTATGCTTACAATTTTTATGGTGATTCTACTGACGGTTCTATATGATTTGCTGTGTATACCACGTGCCACTCCACCAACACAGAAGTAAGTGTACAAATAATTATTTGACTGTTCAAGCATATAATTTTCTCGACAGCACCTAGAAAGAAGTCCACAGTTAAAAGGCTTTTTCAAAATTCATTTCCATGTAAATTTTATTTTGGAAAAATAATTCCTTATATAAACACTATTCTCTTGAGATCACATTGTCTGAAGAACTGTGATCATAAATAAGGGATCATGTGTTATAAGAAGAAAATTCCACTTATTTTTATGTGAAAGAAAACCGAAGAGTTCATATTGGGAAATACTGCTTTTAGTTGTAAGGGTTTCAGATGGAATGTTTCATCCTAGATGAATGAATGAATGAATGAATGAATGAATAAATAAATAAATAAATAAATAAATAAGAATTGGGGAGAAAAGGATGAGGTGATGATAGATTATATCTACATATTGCAATCTACTCCACATTGAGAGACTCAAACAGCCTGCAAGGCATATGAAGATGATTCATATTAATGGACTATTTTATTAAGGTACAGTATTGTTGAAGGCCACAAAATAGCAGCATTCTGTCAGATACACAGTAGTTTATTGAAGTCTGATAATGCTGGAGGGCACAGGATTTCAGCCCAGTTATATTTTATTTGACTGCAGTCATATTAGTGTCCGTACGTGGTACATGTTTTCATATACATTGTTTTGCCAGAGAACGCATTATGTTCTCTTTAACAGATATTGCCTTACTGATTTTTTTTTTTTAACTACTTCTAGGTATGTTGTAATGGGATTCTGCACGACAATAAACCTGGCTTCCAATGCTGTGAGGACAAGTACATTCCATTTATTCTTAATTCACCAGGGGTTTGCTGTGGTGGTCAGATACATGCTGTGAAACCGAAACATTGGTGCTGTGGTGGTTATTACACTAGGGTATTAGTAGGTAAGAGACATCTCCTTTCCAGTGCTTGAAAGAAACAAAACAACAAAGTTGATACATCTGTTAAACCAAGGAGAATGAAAACATAGCAATAAATGTGGGCTTTATCAAGATTTCTAGATGTCTTCGAAACGTGTTCAGTGGCATAAGCAAAGAAAATTGCACTGACTTTGTCTTCCAAACACAGTACACTCTGTTTATACAAGAAAGGTTTAATTGATGAAACCTGATGATTGGGTCATTTCCCAGAGAACTAATTTATGCCAAACTATACTTAATTGCAGTAAGTGCTGCATAATAGGGAGGGCAGTTCTGCTTAATAGGAACACCATCAGGCAATTTAGTGGTGCGGTTTAGTTCTCTGCTTGACTTGACCCCATGTGATTTTCCCTAGCCATTTCTTTTGTGGAACATTTGTTAGCATTTGGGGTTGATATTATGGATTACATCACTTCTGCTTGTTTCTGCATTGTCTACTCTTTGTTTCTACCAATGTTGCAGATCAAAGTACACATCCCACATGTATTATCTTTGATGGAAAATTATCCTTTTCTTAAGGCTGATCATGCTCTTATTCTCAGAACTGTTTGGGAAGTTTGCCAAAACTGTGCTTCTGTGCATTTGTCCAGACTTTAGTTTTCCAGTTTGTTGGTGGATTTTTGACAGGGAGGTGGGAGGAAAAGGAGGAGGAGAGCCCTTTCAGGGGGCAGTGTTCAGAGCATATATCTCTGTAGGCAATTGTCAGGTCAGGAGCTAAAACGCTTCCATTACTCATGAGCTGGCACACATTCCTAGGCTCAGAAATGCTTGAATTTTTGCCAACACATTCAGCACATCCCAAGTTCTGATCCTTTGAAAAGTAATTCATATATCACAATATTAGAATGCCTTCCATGATGTCATCAGAAAAATGCTATCACATGGAAGAACCGGAGAAGAGTATCTTGCTGGCCTCATTAATCTCAATGCACCAAAATGGAGAGATTATACTGTGACCTCTGTCCCCATCCAGTGGTCTATGTTAACTAGCATAATGTTGTTTACATCAAGAAAGAAAAGCACAGTCAAACTAAATGTCTTAAGTCTGAAAGTAGTTCATGTTCAGTCAGCAGTCCACAAGCATGAAACAGTGAATGTTTGAACATGATTTTAAACAGGGTTTTTTTCTCAGTATACTTGCTGCATTCTCTTTTTCCGTACTCTAAAGGGCAGCAACATGAACAATGTTGGTCACTTTTTTCTTTTTTATTTTTATAAATATGCTAATAACCTCAAGCTAAATGTTAATGTGGGTCATTCTTTGATAAGGATAACAATTAACTGTTAAGACTGCATGGTAGTTTTCAGAGAAAGAACATTTTCAAGCCTAGCTTGGAATGGATCCCATTTTGAGAGGTTAATGAGAAGGTTACTGATCCTTTGTGTCTTATGTCTAATAGTTCTTTAAAAAAACCCAGCTTTATTTCCAATAGTTTTAATCTACATTCTGTATTTTAATACTTTCTCTGTGTAGCAACTAAATGAGATTCTGAGGAATGCAGGAAAATATGATGAAGTATCTAAACAGATTATATCTATTATACTCTAAAAATTTGTCCTCATCTTTTTTTTGTTTATTATTGACTTTATTTGATAAAGTTATTTATATAGGAAACTCTCTAAGCATACATATTTCCCAGATGTTGTTTGGCCAGCTTGATAGTTCTAGATGTACTGAAGCACACTGGGCTGAAGGCATAAAGATTACAAATTAGGAAGGCAGGAATCTCAGTTTCTGAAACAGTAGTGCACAAAGAAGTGCAAACATCCATCCCAGAACTAAGATGGGAGGACAGATCCTTAAAGCAGAGCAGAACAAATAATGCTACTACCACCCAGGCACCTCTTTGGCAAGGAATGTGGGGAGTAGGAAGACAGTGTTCTCCCTCATCTCTTATCTGTTTATTTCTGACAAAATCTGTATTGGGTTTAGGGCTCTCTGTCTGTAATTCCCCGTCAAGAAAAGAACTTGAGATATTGCTTGCAATGAGAAAAATGAGTTTTAAAAATCAAAGCACATGTCTTTTATTAACAATCAGGATTCCAAATACTTTAAACACATCTATTACCTGTTTTCAATAGCAGGAAAAAAACCCTACTCCTTCCAAGTGGCGTTTGGGCCACAGAAAACACTGTAACATGGAAAGACAGTACAAAAAATGTAACTTTTAGAACACCAGATCAGAACAAGTGCAGACTCTAGTGAATTAAATTTTTTTGCCATTTACCATAATTTTTGTATCCATGATAGCTTTATCCATGCTATTCATAGCACACAGTTTAGCCTAGCCCAGCCCATCATTATAGTATCAGTCTCATTGGCAGTCTTATCCCAAGGCCTTTTCCTGCAAAAGCTGATGCTTTTGCTTAAGTAGCAGCCAAGCCCACTGATTGTGATGGCTGTATTTGATTTTTAAAGTGAGTTTAATCTTTAAATTCTTTGGGAGATGAGGTCCTGAGCAACACTGAAAAACTCTTTCAGCAATGTGAATTACTCCTTCAAAATGAGTTTGGAATGATTTTGGAGCAGACAAGGAAATTTTTTGCTGAGAATAAGTAGGCTGACTGTTCTGTTAATCATAGCAAGAATGAACTCTCTTCACTATGTAGCTGCCTCTACTTAAAGGTTTTCAGCTGTATATATTTATCATATTTACAGAAATTATTTTAGTTGCTCTTCTCAGTTTGTTTTTGTCATGCTTGCATTTTGATATATTACAGACTCTTGCCCCTTAATTCATGAATGCATGTTTCTTTAATTATTATTACAAATGAATATAATACTCTTATAGCATTCTAAAGTACTGAGTGACTCCATGCTTTCATGTGGAACGCTTTGTACATGAAGCTACTGGTGTGTGAATCCAGACTTGTTGCTATCAGATGAAAGCCTCTCAGAGTTTTCAAGAGATACAAATGCATAAAATCTTTAATTGTATTCTTAAATTGACAGGAGAAGTGTGTTGCCCTAACAAAGAGCAAAACAGAGTTTCAGTTGGAATTGGTGACTCTTGCTGCCAGGGAATGCCATACTCCACATTGGGCAATCAAATCTGCTGTGCCGGATCCCTCCATGACAGTTTCAATCAGCAGTGCTGTGGGGGAGAAGTTATAAGCACGGACTTGGTCTGTTGTGGCAATGAAGAAGCAGGGACTGCACACAAACCTCTCACAGGTAAGTGATAAGTTTTCCAGAAAAAGGGGTTTTCATCTTTCTAAATCTCTTACGACGCCAACCATTCAGCAGTGGCACGCTCATATTTAAGGTGCGTATGCCAATTTGTTAAAATGATGTTGCATTTTACTCACCTATTCTGATAGACTGCAAAATGGTGAGCTATCAATAACCCTTTTTTGCCTTTGTCCAAAAGCAGGAACTGAAGACACTGAAAATTCAAAAGGAGTGCATGATCTTTTATTATGCCAGTCAGGAAATAGGACTGGTCCCCTCTCAATGAGCAGAGCAGAGGTTAGACTTGGCCACCTTGTGCTGCCATGCATCTCAGTGCAGGGATTTTCCATTTGCTCTGGAGATGTGGGGTTAGTCATTTAGAAATTGAAGATTATGATGCTATCTGCTTGGTGGTCTATGTCTCTCACTTGTGCATCTAAATAAAGGTAAACCTGCTGCAGTTTAAAATTAACAAAACTTAATCCCTAGCACTAATCACTTGTTCACCTGGTATATCCCATTAATCTCTTGCACACCATCACTTCAAGGTACAATCTGAACCCTACTCCCTTGTAAAGTACTCTGTGACTAGATGATGACAGACACTGGAGGTATTACAAACCATATTCAGGTATTTTCATGTGTCTTTTCCTTCCACAGTTTTTAGACAAATTATATACCACCAGCCTTAGGCTTTCTCAACCTGACAAAAACTTCAGAAACAACTGGAGTCTCAAAGGGGAGCCTGATTTCAAAGCACAGAAATAATGAAGGTTTAGTCCCCAGTTCTGCTTGGTGTACAAAGATGAGTGATGTAGTGCTTTCACCATATGCCTGCCAGTCTGAGCCTATAGTTGTGCAACTAAGGATCTTAATATATAACTAAGAATCCAGATCTGAAACCTGAACTCTTCCTTTCCCAAAAATGAGCTCTATCTTCAGCTTATTTTGTTGTATTCACTGGATCCTTCAGCCTCTGTGGTATTGTAAGTACCCTAGGTCTGTGTGGACTGTCAGGAAGGGCTAATCAGAACAGCCATTGCAACTCATTCTGCAGTTTCTATATTGTCCTTCCCTTGGAGTGTGTGCTGTGAACAGCACCACTTGCATGATTTTAGCTCCCCCTCACCGTGATCCCTAATTGTGCCTTATCCACAGCGTCTACGCAGGGCTCACAATATCAGCTCTGAACAAGGCCTTCTTGCATAGCCGCGCATTGTGTGGCAGCCACAAGACGGGGCTGGCTCATAAAACATCTCTTTATGTGCTTTATTACTTAAACTCTTTTATTTGCCTGCAGGAGCCCTTTAACAAAATCACATTGAATTGACTTTCTCACACCAAATCAAATCTCCCTGGTCCCAGTTCAGTTGTCTTTGTCAATATGTATTTTATAAATGGAGTGAATTAACAGATGCTGTTGGAACAGAACTGCTGGGGTAGCGTTTATGTTTTTACTGCTCTCTCTGGGCAGATGAGTTGTGTAGGAGTGTAATACAGGTATCTTGGGATGAAAGTTATGTTCTTCATTTCAGTATATATGTATTCTTAACAGTTTTTTTCTTTAAATATATATATTTAAAAAAACTTTAAACCCCTCTTTTTAAAATGTGTTTAGCCTATAGCGCTCTGTCATTTACACCATTTTTCTTGGGAATGGGTCAGGATGACATTTTTTCACTATTAAAAAAGAAAACAGTGGCTTTTTCATCATTCACAGGTTTTCTGTGAGGACTTTATGCTGTGAGCCAGCATAGAGCCGATCACAAATACAGGTCTGAAAGATGAATTAGCGCCTTAGTTGAAAAGAGATTGTATTCTTTTGCATTAAGCATAGAATAGATTTTGGTTTCTTATCATATCATATACATCATGCTCAATAGGTTTTTACTTAATTTCTTAGAGTAATTCAGCCTTGCTAAATACATCATGAAAATGCACAAGCCAGGCACAAAAATCTACCTGCTCCCTATTTCTATTATTATAATGATTCTAATGGAAAAATACTCCCACATAAAAACATAATTTACTTATTATTGGCAAATGGATAAGAAGAATTTTGCAAGAATATGGTAATTGGAAAGATGATCTCATTGTCTAGAAAGAGAAGAGGTAACAGGGGTGGCTTTATGCAAAAGCTGAAATGCTTCTGAAGCTCTATTTTGTAGTTGGCAATGAATGCCATGCTTGAAAATATAATGACAGTTTAAAGCTTTTGTTTGGGAGTTTCAGTTCCTTCAAACAAGTCATACAAGAAAAACATGATCACTGAAAGTGCAAGCCACTTACTCTTGCATGACCAGTTTGAAAGAAGCGTGTTTCTGCAGAATCTAGATGACCCAGGTTTGCACTAAATGTTGGCTTAAGAGCTTGAATCGTAGAACTTTTCCACTTGCCATTGTATACCTTTTCTGTTGAGTCTGTTCTGCAGAAAGAGATGTTTTGTCCATCTCACACTAATCTTTTTTTTAACTTCTATTTTCTTAGGTTTTGCTTTTCGCCCCTTGTTGGCTTCATTAGTGGGGTGACCATAGAGACATCTACTGGCAAAGGCTGGCAGTGATGCCATTGCATACACAGCCTGAGCCCCACTGCTGCAATGTGATTATCCAAAGGTGTCTATTTCTGGCTACAAAGGATAATGTCAGCTAAAACCACTCTTGGATTTTCTCTTTTTTAAAAAAAAAAAAAAAAAAAAGCTAGTAAAATGACACTATGCCACTGTACTGCAGACTCATGAAAGATGATGCTTTGTACTGATGTGTTTCCTGATCTGTAATAGTTGCAATACCCCCATGTAAGCCAAGGATTTTTGGAGTATTTTGCAATGTACACTGGCTCTGTATTTTGTTGATCCTCTATTCTGGCTCCAAAGGCTAAGCCTTTTAATACTCATTTTTCTGTTTTGAATGCATTGGGTTTGCAGATTTACTAAATTAGTAATTCATCACTCAGCTATGTTTGTAAATTTTTTCAGTTGCTGGGGATGAACATGAAATAATTGTTGACAGAAATCACTGTTAGCAGGAGGTGTCTTTTCCAGGCCATGGATTTTCTTTTTGCTGTAATGCATTATGTGCCTATGGAACATAAATATATAAAGCATGACACACACATTCCAGCTGATTTACAAACGAATAGTTTGGGTTTTGGTATTTTGCTGAATTCAGCAAGGGTTTATAGGAATTTCTGGATCCTTAAGCAATTGAATAAAGTGATTTTTAGAAAGCAAATCAATCCATCAATATTACATGGTCCTATTTTGTTTTTCTTGGAGCATATTTAAAATTGTATATTTGAGATGTCAAGGTTCAGGAGTCAAGTGCTACATGTGATAAATTAAGCAAAGGTCAGAGGCTATGCAATGCAGTTTCAGAAGACTGTCTACCTCTGCCTTTGCAGCTCATTCATGCTGAAGTGATGCACTATGGGAATTACTACCAAACTCTGCTCTGCAACATCTGCTCTCCCTAAGTGAGTTAGTGCACGTCAGACATCTTTATGTCAGAATATTGCAGTGATGGATGCAGTCTTCAGAAAATGCTGCATAAAAATCTGGTGTGCCGTTCTGGCCATTAAGTGAAATTACTATTTAAATTAATGGCGCTGTCACAGTTTATCTGTGCAAAGAATGAACGCTGATTAGGGTATTAAGTAATTAGCAATTTATCACACTGGAACAAGGTTGATAATAATTAAAGAAGTAATGGTTTACCAAAGAAACTAGAAAGGGAGTCACTTCTTGTTATGTGAGTGAAATCTTGGCTGAAAAATTTAATTCAGTTAAACAAAGATGAGGTTCACAGTGAAAGAATACAGCTTTGTTTGTTTCAACAGAAAAACAGTTCATTATCAAAATTTAAGTTTGCCTGTCAAAAGTCCCTTGGGGCTGTCTGAGTTGCTTATTAGTATTGAATTGAGTTATTTTCTGCATTAATTCTCTACTTAAAATTGGTAGAATCCTAGGACAATTTGGAAAAAGGGTGTGAACAGGAGGAAATATTTACCTCTTGGAAAGCTGGTGATCACAGTTCGGTTGCTGTGAGTGGAACCAGCCCTGAAAAAAGGTAACGTATGCAAGTAATGTCACCATTTTGAGTCATTCCAGTGATTGGAATGAAATGCTCTGAATGCTTTAGCAGGATCATACCCTTAAAGTGTAATTTTCATTATGTATGACTTCCTAAAAGAGATTTGCTGCAATAAATGGCAGTGAGAAAAGTGGCCACTTTTGCATGTGTTTTAAATGCCTACATACTACAGAAATTATGTCAAATACAAACTACTTTGTAGATGTAACAGTATATCACAGCTCTGTTTTTTTTAATGTGATATCCTTGTAGTTAAATTAGTAATAATATTCATTTCATTGCCAATTATAGAGGTGTTTGTAGCGTTTGGTTCAGAGTCAAAACTTACCACTTTATTTAAATGGTGTGGGGTTCAACACTGGTATTTCATGGTTGCAGAATACCTCATGTGAATATGTGGGATATATAATACTGGTTATGATGAGCTTTTCATTTTAAACAAAAAATATTACAAATATAAGAAAGACAGTGGAATTAATTTAGTATCTTGTCAATTCTACCATAGAAATGCAAATTATACTTAGATATTAACTTCTTCATGAGTAATTCTCTCTATTAGATGACTGAAGCTTCACTGTGGGTATTTGGCAAGTCACCCATTCACTTCTACATACCTAGTATGAACCCCCATTTTAAAACATAAAATAATGTGAAACATCCTGGAATGCCAAGATGCACTACTGGAAGACTGTCCATATGAGGGGGATGAATGAGACCTGACTGGAAAGTACATGAAAAAGCTTTCTCAATTTCTACGTTCTACATCAACAGTCTGTCTTTGACCTGCTATGCACAGTACCTTGGTATGGTATTTTGCAGCAAAGGTTCTTAAAAAAGTTCAGAAATGGTGTAGCCTACCTGTAGGGGATCCCTGTTTATTCCTCTAATTCTTGATTTTAGTAGGTCTGGAAGTCAGAATGCTTACTTCAGTCACCTCACATTCAAATTTAATCTTACTTTAGCTAAATCTATGTAATTCCAGCTGTTGATGGTTTTATGCCAAGCTATACTGCATTCTGAGCTTTCTCCTTTCTTACCTATTTATTTATTTACTTACATTTCATATTCAGATATATTTTTTTGTTTGTTCGTTTCAGGGATGTACTGTTGTGGGCAGGAATATGTGAATAAGTCAGATACCATATGCTGCTCAGGTTCCAGTGGTGAGTCCCTAGCACATGTTAGAAAGAATGACCAAGTGCCAGTAAAATGCTGTGAGACTGAACTTATTCCAAAGAGCGAAGAATGCTGTAATGGAGTTGGATATAATCCTTTGAAATATGTTTGCTCTGACAAGATTTCAGCTGGAATGATGATGAAGGTAATTGATAGAAAATATCTCGGTAGCTCTGATTTGACAATGGAAAGAGAAATACACTGTTCATAACTATTTTTCTAAAATAGGAATATAAAAACTCTTGTGTGCATTATTCATTTTCACATTACATCCATATTAATACCGAATGAGTTCACCATGATTGATGTTATTGCAATGAATTCTAAAGGAATTAATAATGATTAGCTGCCTCTGTGAAGTGTTGCCCAGCACTTCAGATTAGTACAGTGGCTAAAAGCTGGCATACTAACAAGACTGGCATGTATAGCCAGCTCCCATTCTGTGACCACAGTTCCTGATGATGTTCCTTAAGTGGAAATTGAAATTGAAGTGGCCAGTTCTGAAGTATAAAAATGCTATTGCATTTCAATTTGGGCAGGCAGTATGACAGAAATTCCCCAACCTCCTAAAAAAAATTAAATTAATATAAAGCAACTGATATTTTCTTGATGGACTTAAGAAACCAGTGGCAATTTTGGCTTAAGTTTCAGCTGTACTAGGATAGGTCCCTGTATAACTTTTAGCAACAATGAGGGTATTATAATTTTGGTGCTTTTTGCGCCTAATGAATGATATAGTTTGTTCGCTCTGTTTTAATATAAGAGTAAAATTAAGCACCATAAAGGCTAATTCCATCTTTTCTAAGAATGGCCAGTGACTATAGGTATCTGCATGAGACAATTTGGCCAAACTTTCAAAGCTGCAAAGTCTTGCAATTCCAGTTGAATTCAATAGAAATCTTCAAGAATTAGCATCTTGGTGCTATATGTAAACTGTAAAAATATTGCCAAATCTTATCACAATTTTTGTTTAAGAAAATCAACATTTCAAAGGATGGAAACCCTGTTTATATATATGTCTCTTCTTTAATATAAATACATATATTATTTTATATTTATATTTAAAGGGAGAGGGAGAAAGCGGGTGAGAGAGAAAGAGGATTGCATATTGTATATTCTACAATATGAAAATCAGGTAGTTATTTTGGAATTTATCACAGAAGTAAAAAGAAAACCAGACCCAATCCTGCCACATACAGGTGTTCCTGTACCCTTTTCATTCATCTGCTAAGTGAATACAGAAATATTTCTTCCATCTTCTCCTTTCCATGTCAAGGTTTTCATGTCATTTCATTTTCAGACTGAATAATTTTCTCCTAGAGAAAATCTAAGTGTTGTGATGAGTCAGCTGCATTTCCTCAATGCATTGTATTCGTAGTTCATGCAAGGCAAAAAATGGCTGAGAACAGGTTAATGAATTCTGGTAGATAACATGCCAGATCCATGCCTTAGGTGTAATGTATAAACAAAGGAAGTGCTTTATATTTCACTTACCCGCAGTAGAAAAGAGATAGCAGTGCTGGCTTTCTGATATGTATAATTTACTAACATTAAAATGACTTGGTATTCTGAGACATATTCTGGAGCTACTTTATGTGTGAATCCAATCCATTTTATATGCTACATTTTACACTGATATCTATCACAATGTATTTTTTGTGAAAGTGCCAAGTTTTGGAAATTAAATTAGCTGAAGTTCATAATCAGCTAACAAACTAATTGCAATAGGTGAATTAAAGAAGCATTACATAGAATCTGCTTGGTTTTCCTTCTAAAGTTTATAGTCTAATGGGCAGAAATATTTGTAGCAAATATTGCAGTACATTTCTTTCTACAACAACATTTATTTTATGAGAAGTATTGCTCTCTATCTTGTGGTTTGGCAAAAATATTATTTCATGAATTTTAATGGAAACTTGTGGATGTTCAGTGTATATTTCTATTTCTGTGACTTGTTCTTTGTGGGTTGAGTCTTATATCTGCATCAACATTTGCAGAGGTCCTCTTATTGCAGCAAAACTGCTGTTTAGGAGTGATGTGGTAGAGGACACAATTTATATCGCCCATGGATAGAGTTCTCAGCCTTGACAGCTGCCAAGGAATTGCACTGTGCCCTCTTGTGTACTTGGCAAGCTGTGTGAGGGGCTGGGAACTTGCTACTGATTTGCCACAAGATACTGGACTTCACAGGAGCTGAATGATCAAATTCTCAGATAAAATCCCGTTTTCAGTTGATTATAGACTATTCTATGTTCAACAAACCCAGCCATTTGGGCTTCCAGTGGTTAACATTTGTAATGTTTTCATGCTAGAACCCTACCAAAAAAATGTTTCTTTTAGAAAGGATTATAAGAGCATTAATGATCAAAGACAGTAGACAGGCCTAAGGCTGAAAGGGTCTCCCATATGCTAGAAATATCAATGTACTCAATGTGGTTGCATAAAGACAGAGAAATACTAATGAAAGCATTTATAAAGAAATGATAATGCAGTAAATATATTAAAATTGTATTTGTATTCCTTAGGTAAAAGAAGAATGTAAGGCTAATATCATTTGCCCTTTATCTATGGAGGCAACAGCAAACTGTGGAAAGTGTGACTTTGATCCTAGTGAGAATATCTGTGCATGGATAAAAGGTTCACAGAGTGCTACAGAAAAGGAGCTAAAGGAAGGTGTGTGTCCAGCTGAAGAGGAGACTGTCTACACAGGAAATCCAAACCAGTATTCATTTACAGGTAAGGAAAAGTGGCTATCAAATTGGTGATTTCCTAGTGTATTTAATTCGCTCTGGAGAAAAAGATGTCCTGAATTTTATCAAGTATTCTAATTAAATATGAAGCAATTGTAGTGAAGTAGAATTCTTTAAGAATTAATCTGTGAAACAGGACAGTATCTTCAGGGAAACAAGTATCAAGAAGCTCAGTGAATACATAAAATCTAAACATGGTTTTAAGAAAGTTGATAGAAGTATTGCTAGATCAGAAATGGCCCTGACTAAAGGAACAACTTCCACATCTATCTGTCATTAAACACAGAAGTAGTCCCATAGGCACAGAAAAAAATAAACAAAAGTTATTTTGTATTTCGTAAGACTGAGATGATCCTCTTTTTTCTAGACCTGAACCTTGAACCTTTTATTGCATATGAGTACAGAGTGGCTGCTTGGAATAGCTACGGAAAAGGCTTCAGTGAAATTAGCAGAGCTGTAACTAAGCAAGATGCGCCACAGGGTGTAAGTCCACCAAAATGGGCCAAAGTGGATAATCGGGAAGACATGATACATCTGAACTGGGAGGAACCTCTTCAACCAAATGGTATTGATATACGCTAAAAAAAGTATATTCTATCATTCAACTGACAATGTTCCACAATCACAAAACATTTCTTAATTAATCACGGGCACTGAAATGTATGTATTCCTAAACTCTGCAAGAGAAATTTGCTTTAGGTTGAGATAATTTTCATTGCAAATAAGAGTAGAGTCTAACTTCCCAGAAAACAATTTGGTATGTCTCTAAGAAGTGCCTTGAAGCCTCTTCTGATAACAGTTATAATAAGTAGCAAATATGGTTCAGACAATCACAATCATGTTATGAAATATTTGGGGATTCGGTGGGGAAGAGTGGGTGATACTCATGTTTCTTCCAGGAAATCTTGCTTATAATTTTTAAAGAGTGCGAAAACTTGGAATAGCTCTCAATAAAAATTGAGAAATACTGAGATGTTGATGTATAGGTTGAAGAGAGTAGCTGGTAATTGACATTAGCCATTTAAACAGGATGACTGTCTGTTACAGTGGTTGCCGAGAGATTTAATACTTTCTGTGTGCAGAGTCGGTTATTACAGTATACCATCACCCAGGCTTTCTCAGCTAACAAAAGGGAAAACATTCTTTCTGCAATAGGTCTTATTATTCACTATATCATTCTCCGAAATGGAATTGAGCGTTTTAGAGGAACAGAAATGAGCTTCACAGACACAAGTGGCATCCAGCCATACCAAGAATATTCATACCAGCTGCGAGCCTGCACTGTTGCTGGTTGCACAGACAGCAGCAAGGTTAGTAGATTGGTCTTTATGGAACTGGTGCCAGAATTTTAACAGCCAGAGTGGTAACATAAAAATGCTTTTGGAAAAGTGTAATTTGAAGACATACTGATTATTGAGTAACTGATAAACGTCAATAGTCTTATTTGGATTTGACTACTGACAGGTGATTATTTGGAACCTTAGGTTGATACGAGCAAGCAGAAGAAGAAAGCAGTCTTGGCAAAGTTGATATTGCACTGTAGGAACTAATATTTGTTAAAGAGAAAGCTGTACATGATAGAATAAAGAATATTAAAATGCACTTTCTCTAAGCCTTGAAATTAAATCCTTGCTCCTCACTAGGAGGTCTATAGCATCTTCCTCCTTGGCATTTCTTCATTTATCTGCTTTAGCTCTAGTCTATCAATTTGTTCAACAACCTTCTTATTCTGAGCCTCCTTCCACTGTATTACCCTTTGCTGGCTTTCCATGTCTGCACCTGCTTCAGGATTTGCTCTCCCTTTGTGTACAACCTGACTACTTCAGTTTTAAACAAATAGAATCTCTTTCCTCCCCTTTGTCACTGCCTCATTTCCTTTTGTATCATGGATGCCTTTCACCAGCATTACTATTTAACCAGCTCTAGTTTCTGTCCTGCAAAGTACTTGCCTTATTCATCATTTGGAAAAACTATTTCTTAGGTGACCTCTTTTTCACAGTAATATCCTTGCTTCTACATGAATAAATTTCTAGCACTGCAGGTGTAAGGTCTGTGGGCAGAAGAGGGGAATAATGACTGTGCTTTGTAATGATAATATCTATGAGATTAAAAAGTTTGTTTATTTTTTTCCCAGGTGTTTAAATGTTTTTCTTACTGGTGCAAACCTCAGCCAAAAGTATAAAAAAAGAAAAACTGATGCAGAGAGCTGGAGATAGGCATATAGCCCTCTACCTGCACATAGAGCTGTGATCTGGAAGCTATGTAGGCACAGTTGCTGCAACCATCAGCCTGAGCTGATAAATCCAGCTTATTTCACTTGTCTGTAATTAAGGCGTTTACTGTTGCAAACACTGAAGTCTGCAAGTAGGGACTGATTCCACCAAATGCACTAAGACAATATATTATAGAGGGCACATTTTATATTTACAGCATAATATAAATACTTTATGATGGTAATAACAGAAAAAGAAAAGTGATTCTCAAAGAGAAAAAGGTCTGACTCACTTATTAAACAAGTGTAATTTCGAAATGCCTCTGTAGGAGATGGTAGAGGTGTGTCAATAGAAAATTAACTTTTTCTTTTTTTTTTTTTTTTTTTTTTTTTTTTTTTTTTTTGTAGAAGGAGCTTAACAAGAGCAAAATTATTCTATCTTTCAAAATCTTTGGTTTCCTCACAAAAATATAGAGTTGCAAATAACTACAATAGAGTTCAGATTGCATGGGATATATGGAGGCTTAGCCCCATGTTTACTGGTGCTTAAAATATATGAAATCAGGCAGTTAAAATGCAGAGACACTGACAAACCATATGGAAGAGAGTTATCAAGAGTTTTCAAGCAATACAGTTTTTGTTGTTTCACCCTGTGCTATACACTGCAGCTAAAACATGGTGAACCTGTTGTGATAAATTGTAGACATAGACTTATGTAATGTATTCAAGGTCAGATTTCATTGTGAAAAAGGAGGAAAAAAGTAACTAGTTCTCCAGGCCCTTGGTAATGATATGCCAGCCCAAACAACATTTTAAAACAAAAGTGACATTCTCATTGATCATGGTATCTAGTGTACTATTACATTAAATTGCTGTTTAATTCATGTCTTCAGGTAGTTGCAGTCACTGTCCAAGGAGTCCCAGAGAGTGTTCAGCCACCAGACGTCAGTGCTTTGAACTCAACAGCATTACATTTAAGCTGGATTGCACCCAAGAAACCAAATGGTATCATCAGAGAGTACCAGATCAGTCAAGTAGGGAAAGGACTTATATACACTGATGCTGCAAGCAGAATGCAGCACACAGTATCAGGTAAGGAAGCAGAGCTCTCTGACAGGCTAACGTCCTGTACTTAAGATATAAGACAGTATTAACATATTAAAAAAGCTGCTTGTCAGTAACTTTTAAATCCCCAGTACTGTGCACAGTTTAGAATGCTTTATCATGACTTTTCGTATCTTAAATTTATTTTTTTCCATCTCTTTCGTTTCTCACTGCTATTTGTTAAATTATTAATAGATTTAATTTCAAAATTTTAAAATAAATCTATCCAGCTCAATTCAAGATGCATGCTTTGTGGTGTGCTTGAGGTCTCAGATATTCTGTCAAGGCTTGCCATCCCTTCACACAGATTCAACTCTCTCTTTTACTGTCATTAATGTGCAGTAATGCAGTCAGAGTCACTAGTGCTGCTGTGAATGTGTAGCAGTGCAGGAGCAAGAAGGATCCAGTACTGCATGCCTGAGATAATGAAAAGGAAAGGAAGACAGAAAGGGAAAGATCCTGGATTCTGTTTATAATCGTATATATTGCTTGTAGCCATTTTCTAAATACTTGGTGAAATTTCACTAGTGTGTATCTGAAAGAAGCTTTAGTCAGGGGATTTTGGGTGAAGGTTTGACTCAGACCTCGAATGTATTATTTTTACATATTGAATTTTTAGTTATATTTGAATGTCACACTGAAGCAAAATTATTCTTAGAAATATTTCTGTTGAACGCAAAACGGGAACATAAGTATTCTAGGATATCTTTTTTTCACTCTTTGACCTCAGGCTGCACATCAAATTCTTGTATCTATGATTTTTAGGAATTCATAAATACATTATTTTTTCCTTTTTTCCCCCACCCGAGTAGAAAACTGACAGATTCATATGTGATACACACACCATATGATAGCCGCCCAAAGAGTAGAAGTTGACTTAGGGCACATAAAAACTGTAAAGCATATATGGCATTCTAAACCACCCCTCAGAGCATGAGTCCAGAGTCAAAGTGGATCCTTTAGTGCTTTAAAAAACTTTGTTCTTGCTGTAGTCACTCACAGAGGAGTAAAGGTTTGCTGTTCCTCTTTGACAATATAATGCTCAGGTGTGAAAATCATCAACAGTATATTATGCCTGTTTCCATATTCAGTGCTTCTGGACATGAGATTAACTAGAGTATGCCAGTCAGTGGTATGTTTTGGAATTGCTGTTGTAAGTTTATACTGTAAAGAACACCCACCAACAAGGAATGATTTATCAAACCCTTTGAAATATACTTCTCATACTCCCACTTCCTTCCCAAAAGGCAGTTATACTTCCAGAGTAACTGAGATTTTAATGCAGACAATACTGGTTTTCTGACCAGTTGGAAGGGCGAAGAAATTAAATTACCTCCTGAGAAACAAGGATCTTTTTTTCCTTTTGTGTGCCTGTTACGTTCAGCCGCTGTCCAACGCTGCAATGTTAAGCCAGGAGTGAAATAAGTGATAGTTCCTCCTGACAGTCATAATAAAATCTTGTGCTGTTTTCTGCAGGGGCTTCCTTGGGTAATAATGTGGAATTCACAGTAGTGATTTAGCAGTGTGGATAATCATTACTCTCTAAATTAAAAAAATAAGATAAACCACTCAAATTTATTTTATACATATTCTCAAATGTTTGAACTGCTGTCCTATTCCCTGTGGATGTATGTTTTGATTTTCCCCTCTTCCTTTTTCTTTTTTCCAAAACCGTCCACTTTTCTGAGCAACAGTTGAACATTAATGAAGCTGTAGCATTAGTATTTCTTGAGACTTTGAATCTAGGGTCTTGCAAATAACAGACGAGAAGGCTAGCACCTTGCCACTGCACCATTGTCTTCCTGCTTATTTTTAATTACATCAAAGCTTTGGAAACATGATCCCACAAATGCTTTGTGGGAATAGCGGTGAATGTGCTCATCATGTGAAATCCATAAATTGCTTATAATCCTCTCAAGATGTTAAAAAAAGCATTAAGTAATTGAAGACAGGAAGTCCTCAGTTAATTATTTAGAGGTGTTATCAATGCTTTAAGCAAACTGAAGCATTTTCTGCTATCTCACTGAGTTGAATGCCACTGGGACCTAGGGGCAGCAGCCATCATCTTCTCATATTCTCTAATGCAAACAGCACATGGCAGCTTGTCAATAAAAGACCTTTTTATATCATTTATTACTGAACACTTCCACTACCCTGTACAGAACAATTTGGATGACAGTTATGGCATTGTTTCACTTTGTGTTACTACTACTTTACAAATGGGCCTGCTAATGCTTTGCAGTGGGGGCCAGGCAGAGGGTAAAACTAAAGAAAATAATTAGGGGAATTGTAAAAGAAAGCTAGAGTGCCCTCTTCAGCAGCAGCAGGTGGGTTTATAAAAAACATTCTTCTCAACTCCTCCTCTGTAATACATTAAAGATAATATCCCAAATAAGAGGCTTTATAGAGAATTTGTAGGATCAATCATCTTTAGGTGAAAGTCAAGCAAGATCACTGACGTTTATTTTAGTAAAGGAAACAATATTAAAAAATACTTTATGACTGAATGGTTTGGAATTCTTTGATCTGAACTTATTCTCCATTTCAGGATAGTGAAAACTGAAGAGATACAGAAATGTTGTCACTGGTCAACTCTATCTCCATGCAGCACTGGATCATTAGTAACATTTATCTAAAGCAAACTCTTGGGAGTGAAAGGGTTGTGCGAGGCTGTGGTCAGCAAGCTGACATCCTCCTGAGTAAAATTCCCATGGCTGGCAAGGAGCGTTATCCTGGGAGCTAATTACTGACCTTGCTGGAGCCATACCCACAAATGGAGACAAAGAATATCAGGATGAATTGATCTGGCTAATAGAACAATGCATTCTTAAAAGAATGCTGTTTCACAGCCTTTTGGCAAATGACAAATGCTGCAATATCAAAATAGACTGTTAAGATTTAAAAAAAAAAAAACAATTAAAATAAAACAATAATAGGACAGAAAAGAAAAGAGAGGAAAAGTATCCTCTAGTGAACAATCAAGTAGAGGAATTGGAAAAGCAAAATACTGTTTATGTTTCAAGATTATCTTACTTGTTATTTTTATTATTAATCACATACATAGATTTGCACAGAGCTTTTCAAAGCATGCATAAAACAAGGCATTTAATGCAAAGTTTTAATAATCTAGATAAAAATCTGCTGTGACTGCTCCATGTATGACTAGAGGTTTCAGGTGTCAGAATTTCACCAATAAATTTAGTGAAACCATGTGCTCTCTTTTTAATGCTCATTTTTCTCTTTAAAGTGTAGTTGTAAATGAGTATTGCTTTATTATGCATGTTTCCTTTAAAAGTGAACATGACTCCCTTTAGGGGAATTCAAGTAATTTGTTGCCACAGTAATCTTTTCTATCCTGAAATGTTAAATACTTGGCTTTCCTCCATGCCTTTGCCTCTCTCTAGTCTGCAACTGTCATTTTCTCCCTTCTTACTTTTATACACAGTGTTCAGATGATTTTTCTTCTCTTCCAGTTCATGATTAGGTTACAGCCAGGGCTGTCCCTCTGAGTCATCTCTTTATTTTCTGTCCTTCACGTCTTGTTCAATTTATAAACAGCCTGCATGTTTTCCATTCAGTATTTTACCTTTCTACATAGTTGTTGCTCATTTTTCTCTATTCGTTTGCAATATATTTTAATTAAAATATCTTTGTACCAGCTATAAACAGGAATTTGTTTATAAACAAAGATCTTGCCCGGGCTATTTTTCTTGTCACAGAATTGCATTGTTCTTGAAGTAATTACAATTAGGCACACGAGCTACATCAAAAGTATGTTATTAAGGTCATAAAGCCATGCACTTAAAAACTGACCTGTATAGTATGTATGAATTGACCTGTGTAATCCTAATTCGGGCTCTTTTACACAAGCAGTCTGCATTAGACAGTAGCAGTCATTTGTATGTAGGGTTTCTGCCTCATTCAGTCCACAAACTGCGCCTCTTCTGAGGAGGAATAAAATTG